TCAGGTACCTTGTTACCAGCTGCTGCAGAGAGCAGCCAGTACCCTGTATTCTGTATCTTTGACAGCTTCTAGGCTCGCTACAGTGCCTGAGGCTCCACCTTGCAAATTATAAGCAGCAATTTAACCAAGTATAACCCCAAACACCCTCCAACCTCCTAGCCACCCGCCTGCTAAGCTGACACCGTAGAGTTTAGTGTTTGTCACAGCAGTTCTTGCAGGGGTGGTGGTTTTGTTTTGGGGGGTTTTTTTGGTTTGGTTTTTAAGTTCAAAGTGGGCTGATTTTTCCATAGGAAGCGCCATTTCCTGTTTCGCTGTACAAAAAACAAACCAAACAAAAACTGGGGACAGTGATGTCAGTGTCTTCCGGGGAGTAGAAGGAGCTAAAGCAGGTTGTTTCCTGAACTTAGGAAAAGAAGTTGTACAGAATAAAGAAAAATGTGGAGGGGAGAACCAGTTCGTTCTAGACTCCTTGTGTGCTTAGATCGAATTTCCATCTACTTCTCTTAAAATGACAGAATTCTTTTTTTTTTTTTTTTTTGAGTGAAGTAGAAAAGAATAGCTTTATTGCTTTGCCAGGCAAAGGGGGCCACAGTGGGCTCCTGCCCCAAAACACTATGTGAAAATGACAGAATTCTTAATGGAAATGTTCTTAGTGAAGTCGTTGAATCTGGGGAAAATTAAGAGAGCACTTTGAATGAGAGTTTTGAGTTTCTCCTATTTCTAGAAGACCATCTTCTCAGGGTTGTGGAAATCTTTCATAATCTCCCGTCACAATGTGCTGATGGTCTGTCCTGGCTGTTCCCGTGCAGAAGGCTTTTCCCACAGTATCTTTTACCTGTCTCCACCCCGGTCCTTCTCAGCCTTTTTTCCAGTAACACCCGCCCCCCACTCCAGGACCCTTTTAAGATAATTTTTTCCTAATAGCCCTCACCCCATGAAATTGTTTTGATCTTTTTTTTTAATTGAGGCGAAATTCATACAACATAAAATTCATCATTTTAAAGTGTACAGTCAGTGGCATTTAGCGCATTCACAATATTGGGTAACCACCGCCTTTATCTAGATGAAAACGTTTTACTGCCCCCAAATAAAACCCTGTCCCCATGAAGCAGGAAGCAGTAGCTCCTCATTTCAAGCCTCCCCGCACCCCCGTCCCAGTCTGCTTTCTATCCCTATGGGTTTGTCTATTCTAGACATTTCATGTAAAGGGAATCATACAATATATGGCATTTGGGGACTGGCTGCTTTCACTTAGCATCATGTTTTCAAGGTCCATTCACTTTGTAGTATGAATCAGTACCTAATTCCTTTCTATGGCCAAGTAATAATTTATGCATAGACCACATTTCGTTTATCCATTCAGCTGTTGATGGACATTTGCGTTGTTTTCACCTTTTAGCACTTGTGAATAGAGGTGCTGCGAACTGCCGTGAAATTTTAATACCTCACTGTATATCCACTGAGGCATTGTATGCGTATCTGTGCCTTACATATCAAAAGAGTAATCGTTTTTTCACTCCCCCCAACAATTAGTTTTGCCCCACTGAGAATTCAAGCCCCACCTGGGAGGCAGCTTTGGAAAGAGATGCTGTCTTTTCCTTCCTACTGGTTGACCACTGCTGTCCTATCTTGGAGTGTCTTTTAACGTGCCCACCTTTGTGCCAGGAGCTGTAGTGAATACATAAGTACACTTTTGTCACCTGCAGGTGCTAAAATGTTATTCCAAAGACCTGTTTAGATGGGTGTTGCTTTGTCTTCCCTTAGTTTATTGACTTGACCCCAGAATCTCCTAGAACCTGTTCCTTAAAAGAAAAAAAAAACCTGATTAGAGAGTTACTTACCTCTTATAAAAGTAGGATTTTTTTTAAGTGTGGTTATAAGACTTTCTGGGTAGTGACTGCCTTCGTATGAAACCGTTTCCACAGAGAATCTGAAAGCTAACAGACCCCTTAAGAATCAGCTGCTAGAGCCCTGGTTCCTGTTATTTTACAAAGAGAAATAATGAGGCCCATCGAGGTTAAAGTGACTTGATCTGGCATGGGTCCCAGAGCAGAGACTAGAGCCTGAGCCTTTGGACTTGACCTCAGAAAATATCTTGCTAATAATATCATCCCTCATTATTTGGGATTTAAGAACGTTATTTCTTCACCAACTGTGCTGTGACAACCACCTGACCACCTTCAGCCACTCTATTTCACTCACATTGACTTTGTTGAGGGAAAATGAGGACGTGTTATCCCTCCCCATCCCAGCAGTTTGCACCCTTGAAGTTTGGGGAAACCCTATTCCAAGGCTGCAAAGACTTTTAATTTATTTATTTTATTTATTTATTTTTGCCTGTGTTGGGTCTTCGTTGGCACGCGCGGGCTTTTTGTAGCTGCAGTGAGCAGGGGCTGCTCTTCATTGAGGTGTGTGGGCTTCTCATTGCGGTGGCTTCTCTTGTTGCGGAGCACGGGCTGCAGGCGCGTGGGCTTCATTAGTTGCAGCATGCGGGCTCAGTAGTTGTGGCTCACAGGCTTAGCTGCTGCACAGCATGTGGGATCTTCCCGGGCCAGGGGTCGAACCCGTGTCGCCTGCATTGGCAGGCGGATTCTTAACCACTGTGCCACCAGGGAAGCCCGAAGGCTGCAAAGACTTTTTAAAGGAAGTTGCTTTTCCCTCCTCTAGCTTTATTGAGGTATAATCGGTATATATTAAAAACTGCGTATAGGGCTTCCCTGGTGGCGCAGTGGTTAAGAATCCACCTGCCAATGCAGGGGACACGGGTTCAAGCCCTGGTCCGGGAAGGTCCCACATGCCACGGAGCAACTAAGCCCATGCGCCACAACTACTGAGCCTGCGCTCTAGAGCCCATGAGCCACAACTACTGAGCCTGCGTGCTGCAACTACTGAAGCCTGCGTGCCTAGAGCCTGTGCTCCACAACAAGAGAAGACAACGCAATGAGAAGCCCGTGCACCACAATGAAGAGTAGCCCCTGCTCACCGCAACTAGAGAAAGCCCGCGTGCAGCAGTGAAGACCCAGTGCAGCCAAAAGTAAATAAATAAATAAAAATAAATAAAAACTGCGTATAATTCATGTATACAACTTGGTGAGTTTGGATATATGCATAGACTTGTGTTCCCCTCACCACGATCCAGGTGATAAACGTATCCATTTCCAAAAGTTTCCCTGTGTCCCTTTGGGGTTTTAGGTTTTTGTTCCCCAAAACGTCAGCTTTGCTCATATGCATGTTACTGAACCACACTGGGGTCCACTCACCCGCGCAGTAAAGCCCATCTACAGACAGCAGGTTGTGGTGAAGGAAAGTGCAGTGTTTATTTGTAGGCACCAAGCAAGGACTTCAGGACAGCTAATGCCCCCAAACCCCAAACTCTCCGATGGGGTTCAGGAAACTATTTATAAAGGCCAGGTGATGGAGGGGCGTCCCAGGGTCTGTGATCAGCTCGTGCACAATTCTCTGATTGGGTGATGGTGAGGTAATGGGGCGATGTCACTGGAGTTTTAACTATCAGTCCTTAGGCTCCAGGAGACCTGGGGGCTCCGTGCTCATGGTCATCAAGTAGTTGACATCTTCCATCTGGTGGGAGTTTTAGCATCTGTAAAACAGCTCAGGGAATGTGCATCAGATACTGTTATCCAGGTACTTCAGAGAGGAGCTTCAGCAGAGGAGATGGGGAGGGGTCTGACCCGGGAAGGCCCCATAGCGTCCTGCTCGGTTACACACATTTGAATCCAGTTGGGCAGGTTGTCTGTTAGCACCTGGGGCTGAGGTGCTCCATCCTGGCGAATCCGTTCACCCTCTGCTTTCAGGACCTGGACCTCATAATATGGAAAACGTAGTCAGCCAAGACTTAGGCCCAAACGGGACTGTCCTCTCAAGCCTTGGATAGCCCAGTTCCATGTGTGGGTGATTGACACCCGAGGCGGCCATAGGTGTAATGCCGTGGCTCTTTAGCCCCAGGTGTGAGCAGGAGCTCGTGCGCCCCAGGCTGGCTGGCATCTTCCGTTCTGTTGTGCAACAAGGCAGATTTTCCTTCCACTTTCAGGGAGACATTACAAGGTCAGTGTTCGCACCTGCTCCTGTCTGGGTTCACAGGGGCTGACACAGAAGAGGCAGACAAATGCTTCTAGAATGTTAGATGGAGTCACTGCACCTTCCTGTGATAGGACACGCTCCCAAAAAGCACAAACATTCCACACTGGGTCAGAGCTCACACTCTACTGAGCCTTTATTCTCTGCTAGTCCTGGGGGTATTAGGAATATTCCCAGTTTTACACGGGGAAACTAAGGCTCAGAGAAGTTGAGTAGCTTGCCCAAGATGACACAGCTACGAAGGAACAGGGCCCAGATCCCAGCCCATCTGTGCCTGACTCCAAGCTGCTCTTTATAGCCGCTATAGACTGACTGTTGGCATGTCACCCCCCCACCCCTGCACCTACAATTCATGTGTTGAAACCTAACCCCCTAGGTGATGGTATTAGGAGGTGGGGCCTTTGGGAGGTGATTAGGTCATGAGGGTGGAGCCTTCGTGATAGGATTAGTGCCCTTATAAAAGAGACCTCAGACTGTTCCCTCACCCCCTCCATCATGTGAGGACACAGCAAGAAGCTGGCTACCTACAAACCAGGACACATGCCCTTCACCGGACACCAGATCTGCCAGCACCAGATCTTGGCCTTCCCAGCCTCCAGAACAGTGAGAAATATGCATTTGTTGTTTAAGCCACCCAGTCTACGGTGTTTTTGCTAAAGCAGCCCAAACTAAGATAACAAGTCTCCTGGTGGAGTTCACCTCCTTACCCTCCTGGAGACAGAATAAGGCACCCCTCCCATTGAAGATGTTGGCAGTTTTCAGTGATGGTGCTTGTGAGAAAGTTTCAGTGAGAACACGTGGCTGGAGTTAGTGAGCGTCAGGAGGGTAGACTCAGGGCACACGCTTTGTGACCCCCTGGCAAAGCATGATTTCTTCGTGTGCTCATCGTCCTTTTCCCTTTCCAGGGATTAGCAGCTGCCAGCCAGAGATGTTCAGAGGACCACCTGTTGAGTCCTTGGTTTCTCAGGATGGTGACTCGGTCACACGTTTATGTGGGTGTGTTATTTATCAACAGCTCCATTTCCTCCCTGTGTGTTAAGTCTTCCACCTAACTTTTCTCTTAATTAGAAAGCGTCCAAGCACCATTTATCATTTGTTGCTTATTCTACTTTGGTTTTGCCCTCTGGTGGGGGGGGGGGGGGGGGGGGGGGGGAAGGGGGGGACAGAGGGCTGGTTCCAGGGCTGAGATGCATATTCTGATGTGTGGAGCTGCAGTTCCCCCGCACTGAGCCCGGTAGGAGAGGAGGCGGAAATCTCCCTCCCGGTAGCATAGTCATGTGGTAATAGAGACAAACAGATGGTTCTGGGGTGAGGGGGCTGGGGCAAATGTTCTGTAGTTTCCTCTGGGAGTGACAGACTCTGCTAAGTGTCACTGTCTGGGCAAGGTCCATTCAGCATGTCACCCCCGGTCAGGCTGCACAGCTCCCCAAAACCAGCTGCATCACTGGCCTTAAGAGCTCATTAGGCTCCGGCACCGTGTGACCTGCCAGGAGGAGACGCAGAATGGGCGCACGCAGAGAGCCAGAATAGAGCGGCCGCCGCACAAGATGGCCCAGGGATCCTGCCAGCTGGCTGCACGCCCCAGGCTCAGCTGTCCCCTCCAAGGAACTAGTGTCCCATTTGGGAAAGAGAGAGAGAGGTAATTTTCCATTTTCCTCCCCCGGGTGACTCAGAAGAAAGCAAAATCCATTCCCAGCTTGTTTTACTACTACTGTCATTTCTCTGGCTGAGCAGCACAGATTGAAGGCTGGGGGAGATTTGTCCACACCCACTGCACCTCCCGATCCGGAGATCTTTCTGCGATCAGCTTCTCTCTCCACCTGCAGAAGCCTTGCATCTGCGGGGGACCTGCTTGTTTGCCTGGAGACGCTGCCTCGCTGTCATCGTTTTATTTTAAATGGAAGTGCCCCTCCCCCTCGGTGGCCCAGGGATGGGCGGGGTTCAGACGGCTCGGATTCGGCCATACGTTGCTGCCTTGTGGAATGTGCCACAAATCCACCAGAACAGAACAGGCTGGGAAAGTCACGGGAGAGAGGCTGTGTCTTCCGACACGCTCTCTTTGGGATAGTGTTTGCTGAACAAACCTGGTCTTCCTTGGCTCCAGTAAGTGACTCAGAGAACGAGGACATGGCTCCTCGCCTGCACAGACCAGGACAGGCTATGCCTCCCTTGGGCCTAGAACCATCCAGGTCTTGGGAACGCCCTGCCATCTCCCCATCGGTGGCAGTGTCAGGCCAAAGAGGAGACAGTAGACTCACTGGGTGAATCAGAGGGGTCTTAGGAGGGAAATCGGCTGTGTGGCCTCCCACCCTGTGCTGGGGAAGTGTCCGGAGGGAAACGGGAACCCCCCCCCCTCGGGAGGGGTCTGCTGAATCCCGAAATTGAATGAAGGGCTCACCACCCCTTCTTTTACTCCTCATGTTTCATCCACCACCAGGTCCTGCAGAGGGTACCTGGGTGCATCCCCGCTGCCACCACCCTGGTCCAGGCCCCTGCTGCCTCCTGCCTTGAAAGTTCAGCTGCATCCAAGGTGATCTTTAAAGTACGTATCTCTTCCAGTTAATCCCTCGCTCGATGGGAGTTGCAAGGATAGAGCCCACACTCCTGAGGGCAGCTCTCCGCCCTCTAGCACACAGACTCTGCGTCAGCCCTGGGTCACAGGCTCCCTCGTTTCTCCACACACGCCCACCTCTGGGCCACCGCATGGGCTGTTCCCTCTGCAGGGACACCCTACCTCCCACGTCGCGGCCATGCCCTCGGCAGCTTCAACCTCCTCACTTTCGCCAGCCTGACCCCGCTCCCTTAGCGTCTTGAGCTTACCCCTGTCAGAGCACTTGCCGCTTGGGATGTTCATTTCTTGCCTGTGTCCCCCAGAACACTTCGAGCAACTTAAGGGCAGATTCAGGGGCTGGATCACCGTGATGTGTGTACTTCCTGCACCTAGCGTGGCGCCTGGCATTTGCCAAACTCAATGGAAAGTGTCCTCAGGCAGCACTGGGTAGAAGAAATAATTTTAGAAGGAAAAGAGAAATGGCCATCCAGTTCAAGAGCTGACCCCCAAACTGTTCCACACATACAGACTCTAGTCATGGGTGTATCTATTGTCTTCTCTTTTTTGTGCATGTCATCTTCCCAGCCAGAGTATTGCCAACCTGAGAGCAGACCCCCCTCTGTCTTTTAAATAGTGGGGCTTATCACGGTAAAGCCGAGATAGAAAAACTTTTTCTATAAAGAGCCAGATAGTAAATATTTTGGGCTTTGCAGGCCAGTCTCTGTTGCAACTACTCAGCTCTGCGTACTGAATACCATCAAAAGACATGGCAGCCGTGAGGGGAGGCCCGGAGAATTAATAGAAATGCCAGCCCAGACTCCAACTCTGCTGAGCTTCTGTGCCAACCTTGGAAATGCTCATCTCCAACTTCTGGATAAAAGGGAGAAGACCTGTCTGTGATGTTTACAACAAGCATTCTTCACTCACAGTCTAACAGATCCTAAATAACCTAAATAATGCTGTATTATTACATTATCATATAAATAAATGCTCATTAGCACAAAGAGAAGGCAGCTTAATACATTTCCTCCTGCTGTGGCTTCCCAGTCTTCCCTGTTCGCTTTCCAACCAAATGTGCAGAATCCTCGAGGAGAAGTTTTGTAGTAAAAACCTAGACTCCAGGGAACCGGGGGTCTGAGGAACCCCAGCTGGGGAGCGTCATCTGTCTCCTCACATCCATCTTAGAGAAGCCCATGTGCTGTCTTCTGCATTTTAGAGCCAAGAACTAGCTGGACACAGTACGGCGTGAGTGAGGGGTGAAATGGCAGAAGCTTCTTACACAAGAACAGTCAGGGAAGAAAACTCCAGTGTTGCCTTGACATTGTGCCCTCTGGCCAGCATGCACACATGGCCCATCTCGTTGCCCCTTGCAGCCTCCCAGTACGGCGGGTCTGATTATCCCCGTCCTGCAGCAGGGGCTCGTGCTCTGAAACCACCAACGGCCGTGCTCTGAATCCTTCATTGCCTTTCAGTTCACTCAGAATTCAACAGAGAGCATCTCACATGCCTACAAGCCACAGCTGCGGGCACCAGCAGCACAGACAAGACAGCCCTGCCGCCTTCTGCCAGTGAGCATCTTCAGTTGCCCCACCTTCGTGGAGAAAGCAAACCCCGAGAGCCAGATGCTTCTGGTGAGGCTGCCTGGAGCAATAACGACCAAGCTTTGGTTGTCCGCAGTAAATGGGGAAGGGGCAGTCCCCGTAGTTGCCATCAGTATTTCTTGAGCACCTACTATGTGCACAGCCCTATGCTGGGAGGATGGAGGCCATAAAAGGCACCCAGGCTATGAGGCCATGTCGGGATTTGAGCAGTATAATACAATCATCTCTCCCACACACTGCAAGCCCACCGTGGGCCAGCCCTGCATGCACGTCTCTCTGACCCTCACGGCAACCCTGCAGGGTAAGTGCCCTTTTGTTATTCTCGTGCTGGAGCCAGGGGAATTAAGGTCCAAAGGACAGTGATAACTAGCGAAGGCCACACAGCTGACGATGGTAACGCCTGGCCTCTGTGTGTCTAGTGCAGCGGGTGTCAAAGTCTGGTCCCCGGTCCCCCAGCATCAGCATCACCTGGGAACTCGTTAGAAATGCAGGCTCTTGGGCCCCAGACCCGCGGAATCAGGACCTCTGGGGAGGAGCCCACGATCTGTATTTGAACAAGTCCTCCAGGCTTCAAATTTGGGAACCACTGAGTCGTGAGGTATTTTATGTATAAATGGTTTGAAGGCTGTAAAGCACTTATTTGTCAGCAGGGTTTTTTTTGGTGCCTGAAAGGCTTTTTGTGTAAGATTATTCAGGGAACTCTGTTGGTTTTTTCCAGTTAATGTTCTATCTATGACAAATACAGATTTGAAACACCAGTTCTTAAGATTTTGTGTAGAATTTTTGAATCTTACTATTTTGCTTATAAATTGACTATATTTTACAATAACTTTTGTTTTTGTAAAAAACCACTTAAATTCCCTTAGGTATTTTAAGTGCACCAATGCATTTAATAAATTTGATTTCTCCTTAAGCACTTTTCAAAACCTTCCCAAGTGTACCATAAATTCTCATACATCTACAAAGTTGAACTTTTAAATATGGCAAGTCTTGGGGCTTCCCTGGTGGCACAGTGGTTGAGAGTCTGCCTGCCGATGCAGGGGACACAGGTTCATGCCCCGGTCTGGGAAGATCCCATATGCCGCGGAGCGGCTGGGCCCGTGAGCCATGGCCACTGAGCCTGAGCGTCCGGGGCCTGTGCTCCACACGGGAGAGGCCACAACAGTGAGAGGCCCGCGTACCGCAAAAAAAAAAAAAAAAAAAAAAGAAAATATGGTAAGTCTTAACTTCACAGTTTCATACTGTTTGCAGATGCAATAAAATTCTCTTATAACTTTCAAGGTAAAGATCTATCCAATACAGCAACGTGAATGCACTTGTACTCAACGGTGCATTTGAAACTGGTTAAAGATGGTCAGTTTTATGTTATGTGTATTTTACCACAATTGGAAAAATAATCTGGCAGTAACTGATTACCCAGTTCATATAAAATGGAATCACGAAGCCTTTCTCTTAGATGATTTCAAATTCTTGCAAACGTTTCAAAGGCTTAAAACACAAACTATACGTGGATTACTTTCCAATATGATACAGGATCAAAGCAGATAAAAACACATAACTTTGCTTTACTTCATCATCTCTGTACTAAATACTAACTCCTCTGGGGTGAGTATTGTGCCACCCAAGCAAGCCTGTGCTCCCCCACCTCCAAGTGCAGAGTGCTGCAAATTGCTCTTTGGCCAGGAATTGATTTTTCCAGGGACCTCAGCTGAACCCTAATTGTAGTCACTCTGCTGACGGAAGATTCCAAGTCCCCTTCACCCCCAACACTGGGTAGTGGTCTCAAAGCCCAGATTCCCTGGGTCTGATGACAAATATCCTAATTCGTCCCCAATTTGAATCTCCAGCTCCAGGTTTTCTCAGAGCTGCACACTGAACTGTGTCATCTGTCTGCACTGCTTCCTTCCTGGCTGAATTCTTGCTACCTGCCAGGCTCAAGACTCTTACAGAGAACTTTCAGTGCACCCCACTGGTTCTGCATCCCGGCTCCTGTTACCCTCACTCTGTAGCTTTCCAGAGAGGGAAGTGGGCAGTGCGAGGTGAGGACAGGGAAGGAGGACTTCCCAGAAAGGAGAGATTAGGACTGGTCGCTGGATGATGCACCAGCAGGAGATGGGAAAACTTGTGAGGTGAGGGGAATTCGTTCTAGTCCAGTAAGTAAACTAGCAGCTGGGCACACTGTTCCCTCTCCCCCAACCCCCTGAGCAGCTTCAACCCCTATTGGGAGCATCACATTTGAGACGCTCTGCTTCCATCATCTTTGCAGGGTGTGATGAGGCCAGAAATGGAGTGAGGAGCCCCCTTGATAACTGGGAACCGCCAGACTGGAGGGGCCGGGAAGAGGCTGCACCCTGGGGGTCGTGCCTCTGTGCTTTCTCTGGTCCTCACTCCCTCCTGGAGCCAGCAATAGGCACTGGCCCTGCAGTGAGTTCAACCAAGTGTGGTCTCCCCTCGCAGATGTGAAAAAAATGTGGGAAACGCCTGGATCAAGTCCTCAGATGGTGCTTCACCACGCTGGTTGGGTTATTCCATAATGTTTATGGGGTTGGGGGCTAGGGGAGTAGGTGGAGGTCAGCGTCATTCTGATTCTCCTGGACACCTCCTCCTAGTGAGGACATCAGCCGAGCCTCAGCGTCCGAGGGAGACGTTCATGCAACCAAACAACCAGCATGAGTCCCCAGAGGATCTGTGCCGAAGATGATACCCCAAGAGCTCGGTGGGGAGACCCAGGAAAAGATGTGAGCGTTCCCAGCCTTGGCACATCTTGGACATCACTTGGTCTTGGAGGGGGCTGCCTCATCCAGGGGGCTGAAGATGGCCCCCCACCCTGGTGGGGCCAGTAGGAGAAGGTGAGGGACCGTGCCTTCAGAAAAGCCATGTCATTTAATCCTCATGCTACCCTTCAGAGTGGATGCCGTTATTATCAACCCGCTTTACAGATGAAGAAACTGAGGCTCAGCGACGGGGCACTCCAGGTCTCAAGGGGGAAGGAAACAGATGGCAGAGGAAGATGGCCATCCCCCCCACCGGGGGGGATGGAGTGGGCTGATTTTCGTTGGGTCACAGGTTCAGAGAGGCTGGGAGCCCCACGGGCCTGGATGGTGTCTGATTCCACCCCCGCATGCCCTAGGGGGCAGCAGAGCGTCATAACTGCCCGCGCTTTGCAGTGGACCAGACTCAGGTTCAAGCTAAGCCTCTGTTACTAACCAGCGTGGGCTGGTCATTTAACCTGGAGGCGGGGGCCTCCGTTTCCTGTGGTTGGACGGAGAGACGAGGACCTCCGCGGAGCGTGCCTGCTCATCACTACGTCAGGAGCAGCGCAGACCCTGGAAGGCTCATCTGCGCTGCTCCAGGACTCTGTTTAAGGTCTAGTCACCTTCACAGCAGCGCAGCATCCTCGAATCTGTGGGTATCCTGGTTACCCAGAGGCAAAGAGAAGCAGAGTGACTTCCTCGTGGTCACGTGACCTGTAAGCGGCAGAGGCAGGATTTGAACCCAGGTCTTTCAGCTGCACTGTGACCACGGCACTGTACCTGCCTCCGAAATCACTCACACACAGCTCGACACACACAATGCACGCCCCTGTTTGCTGTTAGTACTGAAGGGCTGCGCGCAGGTTCTATCGATGGAAGTGATCATTGCTGATATTACAACATTATCTACAAGTTTCCCTGGGGCGGAAGGTGCGCCCACCCCAGAGACTCTTCGAACATTCTGCCTACAAGAAAGAAGTATTTAACCAGCGTCCGGCAGTCTGTGAGTTTATAAGTGATTTATAAAAAGCCTGCTGAAGTCTAGAGACTTCTAACAGGCGGAGGTGTGTTCTCCAGACTAAGAATAGCTGCTGAGGCCTGACGGGAGATGCTTTCTGGTGACATAAGAGCAGAGCAGCTTGGGGGGATGTGGGTTTTCTCCAGCTTGGTAACAGCTGCCGGTACAGCGTCACCGCCTTTCCCCCTCAGAGGGATGCACTGAACCGAAGGAATTCGTTGAAGGTGTAGGAACGGGGCCAGGTGACCCCCAAGGTGGGGTTTCTGATCTGTTACTTCTCCACCGCCTCACCACCCCCAGTTTTCTGGACGCTGGACGCCGGACCAGTAAGATGGGGTTAGAGAGCAGGGGTCAGCAGGGGAGAGGGCGGACGGTCCCTGGCCAGCTCTGGATTTAGATGCTCCCGGGCAGTGAGAGGCCACAGGTGCCTCCGTCCTGCTGGCCCCGGCCTCACCGGCACCTGAGGGGCCTCTGACACATGCAGACCCCAGCCCACTGCACCAGTCGCTCTGGGGGACTCTTATACACACCCGAGTGTGGGAACTCCTGCCGTTTAAGGGAAGCAGAACTCCGGTCCAGAACTTGCTCCGAGTCCTGGCAGGTAACTGCTGAGTTTTTCTGAAATTAATAAATTTCTGGGGAGAGATTAAGTACAAAGATTAGGTCAACCTAAGGTTGAATTATGGTTCCCCGCCAGGAGCTGTGAGCTTTTAGTGGAAGTATTAGAGGGATTGGGGCGAGGGGAGGAGAAAGAAAAGGAAAAGGAACAGTTTAAGCTTAAAATACTCTTTAAAATTATGTCTTGCCATACTCAGGTGCTCGTGCGCGGTTTGTTACTGGACGTTTGCATCTTTAGATGTTACGCGTATGTCCTGCACAGGGTTGTGTGCATAAACCTGTAAGGACCAGACTTTATGGTCACTAGGGGATTTTTGAGGATGACTGTGGCTGCGCGTGATGTTGACCTTGCACCCTGGCTCCACGAGACAGCCCCCCAAGAGGGGAGGGGCCTGTGCTGTCAGGCAACCCTCAGGCCTCACCACGCACCTCCCGAGGGTCCTGACGACTCAGCCCTGGAGTGCGCAGCGCAGGAGCTGAGCCCGCGCGGCTCCCCGTGGATTTCAGGGCAGCCCCAGTGCTGTCTCACTTGTGCCCTCGCCTTCTGCCCTGGCCTCCCGGGTCCCCTGGGAGGGATGCCTCCTTCTGGAAGCCCCTGTTCCTGAGCCCCGCCCCCAGCACAGACTCTCCTGTCCCCACCTGCCTCCCTCCCCCCAGAAATCCACAGGCCTCCCCTCACCCTGTGACATCTGGTGGCTGGGCTTGAGGTCCAGGGCCCTCTTTATGCTCCCTCCCTCTTTGGGGTTTAGACCTATGTGACCTTGACCCTCTGAGCTTCCTCCCTGGTGAAAATGAGAGGGTCGAGCCTGCCAATTCCAAGGGGCTCTTTAATCCCCCCCCGAGCCCCCCAACTTGGCTCCCGCCCACTGCAATGTGGGGAGGGAGGGGGGCTCCTCTTCCCCGGTTTCTCCCCCCAGCAGCCCCTCTGCCAGGTCAAAACACTAAACCCTGTCCAGGATTTTCACCTGCCTCTACATGCAGTGGAGGACCCAGAAGCCCCAAAGCACCTTTCTCTCCCCCCACCCCACGCTGGAGTCTCTTGGGCAGAGGGCATGTTTCCTCTGTGTAAAGAGCCTTGAAAGAGCAGCTGGGAACCTGTCATTCCTTCACATCCACATCTTTCTCCATGAAGGGTAGAGCTGGATCTGGTTCCCATCTCGGCTGTCCATAGCCAGCCCTGGGAGGGTTGCGGAGACAGCTGAGGGTGGACATCTGGGAAGCGTGCCCAGTCAGCGGGAGCGGCCCGGGCACTGCCAAGTCAGCACAGCCTCGGGAGGGGGGTGCGCGGTGGGGCACCTGGGCCCACCTCTTACCTCCGCCCTCACCCCCACCCCGCCCCAGCCTGCCTTTGCCCTCCGTCTGCCCCAGCTGGCCCAGATGGTACGTGCCTGCTGCATCCTGTCACAAATAAGCCCCAAATTATCGGCTGTGCTGACTCTGAACCCCAGCATATATTTATCACCCTGCCTCCCAGGCCCTCAGCCGGGTCCCACTGGTACTTGCAGCCATCCCAGGAGGGAGGGG